TTATAGTGTATTAAAGAGAGATATCTTTCAAGAGAACAAATGTTGCTTTCTTATATATACTCGTATGATAAAAAGTAAATTTCTTATATATGTAATGTAATACCCCAAAATTTCTAGAGTATTAAAGTGTGAGTTAGGGACCTAATTGTGAAGAAATACTATTAATGAACTTAATGGCAAAAATTTTCAAAGTTTAGGGACTAAAAAGAAAACAAATTAGGATAAGGATTAAGCTTACATATTTTTCTTTTCTTCCTCATTTTCACGCGGGTCTGCTCTGTCTTCTTCCCGATCCTTCCTACCGAAAAGCCCCCAAGCCACCGACTTTCTCCCCTTGAAAAACCCGGTGAAGGCCTCTTGAAATTTCCCTCCTTTCTTGCTCAAAAAACCAAGTTGCAGGCCTAGAACACTCTCCTAAACCCAGAAATTTTCCAGATCTGCGCTGTCCTCTTCCCCTCTGTCCGCCGGCCTCTGCTGTGTGGGGTTGGGTTCGGTTTTCTGGTAAGATTCAGCCATGAATTCCTCTCTTTAACTTTGATTTAGCTTGGGTTAACTTTGGTTCTCCAATTTTTGGCTAGTCCGTAAGTTCCCCTGCAGCTTGCCACCGGCTTCTTCTTCTCCCTGCAGCTCCGGTTTTAGCTGGAAAATTCTGGTATGGACAGCCCTTTTAAGTTCGAATTTATCAATTAATTGTTGTCCAATTAGTTGCTCTGTGTTGTCTGAGATCCCGCCGGAATTATGGGATAATTGTGGGTAGCATAAAATGTGTTTTTAAGCTTAGGTTAAGTATAAATTGCTTGATTTGGCTGCTGTGAATTTTCTGGAGGAAATCCTGTGTCTTAGGTATTGTTTTGCAAAAGACAATTGATTGAATACAAGTCCTGTTCTTCCATTTTTCCTGTCTGTGGAAGTAGAAATCCAAATTGGGTTTTCTCGGTTGATGGATAAATGTAATTTAGGAGCTTTTGAGTGAAATTAGGGATTGATCTATTGATTAGACTCGGGTTTAAGAGGGTTTGTGACCATTTTGCTCATAAGTTACATTTACTGTTCATGTGCACTGTTCACGGATACTGTTCATAGGCACTGTTCACACACCGAGGGTTAACAATTAATGGGGATTTAAATGATTAATTTGTGATATAAAGATAAATTTGGAGAGGTCCGGTCATGTGGAGATTGATAGGAATAATATCGTGATTAGGGATTAATCATGATGATTTCAACTTGAATTTGTGATAGTCCGGTATTAATTCTGAGGTGTTTTGATTAGGTTCCCGATCGTTCTATCAGTTAGCACCGTGAATTGAGCCTTTGGTTTTAAGCAAGTGAGGTAAGTAAATTTATGGTAATGTTCGCATTGTTTTTAAAAGATGTTTTGACTTGTTTTTGAAGTGGTGGCGGGACTAAACCCGTTTTATGCAAAAGTAAGTATGACTGATCTGAAGTGAAGTTTTATGCTTTTCATTAAATTGAGCATGCCTACTTGAAATTTAATTGATTGCCCCGATGATTTGAAAGTGATTAGTAAAGCATGATTTTCTGTTAACTTCTGCCTGTTTTGTCTCCGATACGGTCATGTTATCCTGTTGCCCGCTAGTGGGAGGTTTAAACGCTAGCACATGTCGACATGTTCCTGATAGAACCAGTTCAAATTTCTGTTGCCTGCCAGTGGGAAGTTTAAACACTGGCCATGACCTATAGAGAAGACGTCTATTTCGTTCCCGTACTTGTTCCCGTACTTGTATCCGTTTTCTGATTACACTTGTTGGCATGCTATAAGTTTAATTGACTACTACTGAACTTTATTCTGTATAATGGTTATCATTGAGCATTCCGTTTATGTTTAAACTGTTTATCTGAAATGCTCAAATTTTACCCACGAGCTATCCATACATTTACTTATTGAGATATTTTATCTCATGATTTTCCCTTGTCCACCATTTCAGGTAGTATGACCCGAGACACGGAAACCACGGGAAGTGACGAGTTAGAAGGCTAGCCATTTCGAGATTGATATAGATTTTAGAAATAAATCATGTTTTTTTGTAAGATAGATTTTACCTTGTGATTTTAAGTTTAAGTCATGTTGGACATAGATTTATGGAATAGAGTTTGGGATTTGAATAAGTTCCGAACCTTGTGCGTTCGAGTGCACGGCGTCTGTCGCGTCTCGGATTTGGGTTCTGAGACGTGACATGTAACCATCCATATATATTGAGATGTTGCTTTCTTAGTTCCTATCAGGTCTGAATGGTGCATTCATAAGTCATATATTGGATATGAACTTTGCAAAGTATGCACATTGCTTGGCACCCAAAATTAAATTGTCTGTTGTTTATGGTGCTTTAAAGAGAGGGAGAATA